TATCTTGCCCTACCTCAAAAAGCCATTTATATAACTACTATTTTAATATAATTGTTACATTTTATTGATCAAAAAATAACTATGAAGTAACGATGATGAGTGCTCGAACACTATAAAAATAGTGTTCGAGAACTTACAAATTTATATGGTCATTTAAAATTGAACCAGACTTGCAGGGTTACTTAAGCAGTCATATGTGCTTAATGTTAATGAACCTAAGATGTTATTCATTAAGAACAACCGAATCTAATGACAAAGTTAAGCAAATGCAACTCTTCTACTCATAATTAAGGATGCTTAGTGTTTAGGGTTTAATATACAAATGTGAGTTATGGTCCCAATTGCTCTCTTCCTTGTATTCGAGTTCGATCTCTCTTCTCGTAAATTAGAGGAATTTAGACTGTTGCTTTACTTAATTTGACCTTATTGGGTGCTCAAATCAATTTCAACTTTAACAACAATTTATTACAATAGAATAACGAGGGGATAATTTCATGCCACTAATCAGCCAGACAATTTGACTTGGACCCACTCTCTTTACATAAACTATTTTAATTTGAACAGATAATCATCCATCTTAATTAATTATATTAATAACCACACAAACCCAACCCACATCTTTATCTTTATCAGATTGTCCATTTTTAATTCAACAAACATATAACTTAATCCCTTAACATGATTATAAATTAGAGCCGACTTGACCACTCTCTTATCTCTCTCTAGAGTCTAGAGACATATGAATACCGATGGCGGAGCCACCATAAGCCCTTGGGGTCATCTGCTCCTATAACTTCAGCTGGGCTCCACAAATTTTCATGTAACTTGGGGAAAATAGTGCGATAATTCATCAATTTGTAAAAGAAGTGTTATAAAAAAAAATAAAAAATAAAAGCTGAACAAATAACACTCATGTTTACTTACAATTGTAAAAGAAGTGTCATGAATTGGGGAACTTAAAGAATTTGGGAATAAGAAATAGAAATCGGATCAACTATTCTCCTCTAGTTGGTCTAATTCCTAATTTTGAGGGTACATGATTATAGATTTTACCATAAAACTCCCATAATTTTTTATTAAACACAAGTTTAGAAGGAATTGAAATGATTCCAATACTCATTAGTCATTACTGATAAGTAATGAGACTTCTAGCAATGCTTGGAGGCCAAATTATTCAAATTCAGTGTGTTTTTTTTGGTAGAACTTGATGAGGATGGATAGGATGATTTTAATTTAGAATTATGAGGAAATGAGTATAATGTGAAAAGGGGGATTAGGAAAACAAAGTAGGGCATGAGAGGGAATGTTTTGTATTAGAGAAGTTCAAACTTTTTGTGTTTGTTTACTTTTAGGGTTTAGTGAGACTAGAGTTTTACTCTGCAACAATTACAGTAGTTTGTATAGCATTTGAAATAAATTTTTTTTTCTGGTTAGAGTCCTTTTTTTAAATACATAAATGACATTGGGACGAAAGAGAAAATCGACCACAATATATCAAATGCACATTTATAATTCTTTTAGCCACTTGGAATACAAACTTTGTTCATTGATTAATCAAGTTACTTTATTGTTTGAGTTACTCCATTATGTTTACTTATTAGGAATGAGAGAAGTAATGAACCGAAAAACAAAGGAATTAAGGAATTAGAATTGGATGAACATGAGGTTAAAGGTATTAGAATTGGAATAATTATAGTTACCCATGAACTGCAATAATTTCAATATCCATTCATGATACGTACACATCCCATCAATGATATAAACAACGTGGAATATGTATGGTGTGGGTTGGAATAGAAATATAGGTATACATGAAGGGTAAACGTGTAAATAAGGGTAATTGCTTATATTAATTTCACTGTAGCGCCTGTTAGGAAAGGACAGTGGTCACAGTGGGGAATTACTGTTGAACCATTATACCCCTTTGTTTGGTTCTCCGTATAATTTTTTTTTTTTTTTTTTTTTTTTTTTTTTTTTTTTTTTTTTGTTAAAGGACAAAAAAAATTTTTTTTTTTTTTTTTTTTTTTTTTTAAAGTCTTAAATTCAATTCCAAAGTTTCCAACCAATAAAAATTGATTTCAATTTATTTAAAGCATGAAATTCCAAAATGGCTGTGTCACAGCTCACAGGCCAAGTCAGAAAATATTGAGTCTCCCTACCCACTTGGACGACTTTCCTAATTAAGGCCATTAAATTATTGGTCTGTTTGCTTCAGATTTTGTGCACCGCTGTCAACCTAAATTTACCGTCTCCCGTCAAACATCATTGAAATTTTCAGTGCTGATCTTCATTTCTTTCTGTTCCCATTAACTTTCCCCTTTTAACCTTTACCCCTCCACTTATTAACCTTTTCTCTTTGCCAAACAAAGTAAGCGGTAAAAACAACATAAAAGCTGAATCTGCCGCTCAATTTTAAGTCAAAGTCCCGCGTACATGAGAATTTCAAAATTATTATTATTTATTTCTAAATAACGAATTTCCCATCAGCTAAATTTTAAAAAGTAATAATTTTTTTTTTTGGAATAAGTGAATTTCTCATCAGCTCTTAACTACTTTAGCTACAAGCCCCTTATCTTTCTTCTTCCATATTTCTCGACCGGCAGACCTAATTATTTTTTCTCACTCAAGAGGGTCTCATACTTGATTGATATTGTGGCAATAGGGAGGGGGAGGCTATGAAACTCTCCTAACCATGAAAAGAATACAAAACTATTGATTATGCATCATGAAGTTGTCTTGTATATATTTGTTACTATGCTTCGACAGTACAATAAAGTCTTAGCTCTAACCACTAGTTATGACATGCAACATATTAAGGAATAAAATCATACCATGCAGTCTATTTGGGCGGGACCACGCATAATTAGAGCCCAACTCATGGGATTGGTAATAGTTTGATAAATGTCTTTTAAAATTAGATAAACAACTTTAAAGTTATGAATAATTCGAGTGTAGAATAGGGAGCACATTCGCTCTCATGGTGTTCAGATTTTTTTCTTGTTTTTAATGAAGCTGCCTGAATGAATTTAAAAAGTCAAATTTGCTTGCATGAAATGGGGTTTTTTTTAAATTATTTGCATTAAATGTTTTGTTTTTATTTAGATGTCTATGGTAACCCCTACAATTAGGTACATTATTTGTACCTTGCACCATAGGTAGAAACTTTCATGCGTCTCCATCGGCATTGATAGGGTTCCACATGCAAATGCGGTACATGCATGTACGGGTGTGTGTAGGACCTTCACCTTCCTAATGTCTAAATCAAATCTATGGCCTACGGGCTAATTTCACTAATATGATTTCAGAAACATCAATTTTCTGAGGGCTCTTTGAATCCGAGTTTTACCATTTTTATTAGAGCATCTTCTTCAATAGTATATCGTTTGGTGTGCCAATGTCAAAATGTAATCGCTTTACAATTCAGTTTAGTATCTTGAACTTACACCCTTAAAGCATGTTAGGCCATCTCCAATCCATGAGGCCAAACCTAAAATATCCGAAATTTTAGCTCATTTCCTTTCCCAACCTAAGAAAATCAAGGGGTCAAAATTTGAGAAAACTCAAACTTGGGGCCAAATACCAGTCCAGCTATTGCCTGGACTGAAATTTTTTCTAATGGAGCCCACACAGCCTGACGCAGCCCATGTGCAGCTGCAGACTTTGTAGCGCCAAACGTCATGCGCTCATGATGTTGCCGTTGGTTCAAACATCCCTATATATATTCCAATAGTAACCAAAATCAACGATCAATATTAAATCTATGCTACTTTAACGGTAAAAAAAAAAAAAAAAAATCCAACGGCTGAAATTTAAATCCAATGGTCAAAATAATATTTTAAATTAATCTAAATCAAATCCAACCCCAAAACTCACTCAAAACTCTATAAATACCCACCCATTTCTCAAATAATCTACCAAAAATTATATTTGTGGAATTTCAATTTTTTTAGGTTACATTGTTCAAAAAAAATAAATTATAAAGTTATTTAAAAAGATTAAATAAAGAAACGTTATCCATTTAAAACAATTATACTTAAACCATCTTAAACAATTTAATAAAGTTGTGGACTTAAAATTTGAGTATGAAGGGTTGGGGGAAAAAATGGTTTGAGTCCGAGCAAAACCAAATAGTTACTTTTTGGAGGGGGGAAATTTGAGTTTAGCCCCAAATGGGTTGGAGAAGGCCTTAGTATTCACGTTTTCAATTTCAGTATTTTGGTACCTATCTTGAACGTGTTATTTTATTAAACAATCAATCTGAATATCTAATTATGATTTTTTTTCTTCTTTTCATATGAATGTATGGTTTAACGAGTCTTTAGAACACCATGTTTAACATTGATGACCATCCTTGTTCCCATTCCAAGAACATGAATATGACAACCAAAAAGCATGCACGGAAACCTACCCCTCTATGGGACCTAAAGGACCAAACCAAACTGGCCCACTGACGGGCCTAAGCAGGTCCAAGTTAAAGCCCAATCGGCTCGTGAACAACGGCTATTATTATGCCATTGACTAGCATGTTATTATCCATGATAAATTGATTATTATTATTATTATTATTTTACAAAATAATATTTTAAATTATTTTAATATATGTAGGAAGGGATTGAACTTGGAGACAAAGTCCCTAAAATAATATCCGCACCACCTGAACATTATTGTAAACAAATTATTTTTTATTTATTCACAAATATATATATTAAAATGCAGAGAATGATGAAATATTTAAAATATTAAAAAATATTTTTAAATAATATAAAAATTAAAAATTAAAAATATTAATTAAAAAAGGATAATATGGTAAATTCATATTTTTTATATTTAGAAAAAATTAAAAATTAAAGATAATAAATTTTATTTTTATGAAACGCAACTAATTATTATCTTTTATATATATATAAAAATAGAAAAAAAAAACAATCAATTGTCACACGTGTGCTAAGAGGCTAGTCTAATATTATAAGAGAAAAAAAATAGGAAAATGACAGAAAAGGGCATTCCTCTTCTTCCACTTAAACTTGTGAAAAAACAAAAAGGCGTTTCATCATTCGCCGCACGCCTCTGCTACTCCGTCTGTTTCATCCCTCCGGCGCATTCGACTTGAACCGTTTCTATCTCTTTCAGTCGACGCGAAGCCATAACGGAAGAGGCGCACAACATCGGTCCGGCGTCACGCCGGCTGGAGGCTCTCATCTCTGCGACTCCGTCTCACACTCTCTCATCTCTGGCTCGCTACTTTTGGTTAGTTTTTCGGTTTTTTTTTTCCTGGGTACTTTTTGATTGTTTTGTTTGATTTTTTTTTTTGGTCATTCACTGTGGTCTGTGTATTTTTTGTTGCTGGACAATCTTGCTTAAGCCCTGTGGTCTATTTCTCTGATTGCTCACCCCTCCCTAATTTCCTGCAAAAAAGAAAAAATGATAGGTAAGAAACAGACTGATTCTCCTTAGAAAAGGCAAGTAATATACATTCTAATATATGGTTTAATGATTCATAACTGTTGGATTGAGTTCATGTCTTGCCCTTTTGATATGAAACTACTTTTGTTGCTTTCTGTTTGAATTCCTACTTTTCTTTTGGTATATGATTCTCAATTCTAGTTTTCTCTTCCTCTGATTGTCCACCCTTTCTAGTTTCCTGCAAAAGAAAAAAAAACAATTAGATGTGTAAAGAACAGAGCAAATTCGTTTGCTATAGCATTCATTAAATGCATCCTGCTTCATAATTGTGTATATGTAAAAAGATATTGACAAAATGGGTCAGGACTGCATTTGTTGCCACTGTTTTGAATTTTCTTCGAGTGACCCCTTTTTGGTTCAATGAAGTGAGCAATACTGTAACCGCTGCTAGTTAAAACAAAGAGACATCTCGCTTTTGACAAACTGTATGGGATTCCATCGACACAATTTATAAATCTGTTATGTTCATGCTTGTAATAGAATATGTTGTGTTCAATAAGTCGATTGATAAATCAGTTCCTTGTTGATGAATCTAATAGAATCTGTTGTGTTGTGGTTCAATTGATAAATCAGTCCTAGTTGATGCTTGTGATATGCGATTTGCTTTTTTAAAGCTCAAAAATATGCAGTGGGACTTTGAGTTTATGCAATCGAGCTTGTTTGAGGCTGTAATCATACACTTGTAGTTTTTAATATTCTCATTACATGCTATTTATAAGTTTATATTTCTTGGCTTGAGAATCAATAAGAAGTGCTTTGGGAATGTAAAAATTTGAAAGATGTTTCTTTCAAGCATTTCCTGGTTTTGAAAATGAATCATGTGGCTTTTCCTGTTTCTTTCTAGCATTTCTTGTTTTTTTTCTTCTTCAAGGATTGTAACGTATGAGTGGCATCTGTTGAATCTGTTTTGGTATTTATGCCATGTCTTGAATCTTCTTTTGACGCTAGAGGTTTCATTTATTGTCTAAGTGGAAAATTCTAACAAAAGTTTCTTTTTTCCACTTTCAGCAACACTACCATTATTTGATTTTCTTCTTTTCTGACTTTTTTTCGGTAACCAAACACAATTCATGTTATATTTTAAACATAAAAGCAGCATATACCCAAATAATTAATATGCAAAACAGAAAAAAGTGGTATTTTGTGTTTGATTGCTAAGAAAAAATCATAAAGATGGGAAAATAATGAAATAGTAGTGTCCTCCTGAGTCACAAGTTGTTTTTTTAAATTTAATAACTTTCAGTAACACTACAATTGATTTTCCCGTTTTCTGACTTGAAAGTGAAAAAATGAAACTTGGGACTCAGAACACCAGCATTCATTACTTTCTTATATTTCTTACTTATTCTTAGCAATGAAACACAAAAAACCACTTTTTTCTAGGTTGCATATTGATGGTTTTGGGTATATGCTGTTTTCCTTTTAAAAAAATAATATCCGTTGTCTTTGGTTGTTAAGAAACAGTCTGAAAAATAAGAAAATCAAATAATTAGTGTAGCTGAAGTGAAAAAAGGAAACTTTAGACTCAGAAGAACACTGCCACTCATCAACTTTCCGAAGTTTTGACATTTTTTTCACGAAACCAAATTCAGTGAAAATTTTGCGTTTTTCTGTTGCAAATTGTTTCCGAAGGATATTAACTTGTTTGAGTGTTTTTGTTTGCTTTCTTTTCCTGTTTCTCTGCCACCACAAATAGTCTATCTAATTTAAGTGAATACATTTTTGGATTTTATGTTGTATCTTATCCCATAGAAAGTAATGATTTATTTTTCAACACCTCAAAAAAGAAACAAGTCATAGAGCTTTGTGATGTAAGTGTCAACAAAGTTTCTTATGTTGTTTTCTTTACCCCTCGACAGGATCATAGGATGAGCAGACCTTCAGCACTCAAACGGAAACAGCCAGACTCTAATTCCCCGTCGGAGTCTTTGACAGAGCATGAGAAAATCGTATATAATGTGATCCGAAGCAAGCAAGATATGGGAATTTGGACACGAGACATGAAGAAAGAAGCGAACCTCCCCGACAATCTGGTTGGCAAATCCATAAAATCACTCCAAGCCAAGAACCTGATAAAAGAGGTTGTAAATGTCCAAAGCAAGGGGAGAAAGCATTATATGGCTTCAGAGTTTGAGCCCTCCAAGGAGCTAACCGGTGGGGATTGGTATTCTAATGGGACCCTCGATAAATATTACATAACCTGTGTAAAAGACGGTTTTGCAAAGATCATATATCAGCTCAAGGTCGCTACCTTGGAGGGAATTTCAGATGAAGTTAAAAAGAGTGGAATATTCAAAACTTCGTTCACAAGACCGCAAATTGAGGAGATTTTGAGGGTTTTGGTTTTGGACAAACGGGTCACGGAGGTGAAGAGCACTGGGATGGGGGAGTTTGCTTCATTTCAAGTTGGGAAAGTTTGCTATAAATCCACAAGCAAGGGAGGTACTAAACGGGAGCTCAAAGTAGGGGCCATGGCTTCCATTCCATGTGGAGTTTGCCCGCGGATAAGTCAATGTACGCCAGATGGTATTATTTCCCCAAGGACGTGTGTCTACTTCACCAAATGGTTGGATTTCTGAAATTATCGTATGCAGAGACAATTGTTTGGTATGCTTTTGGAGGTCTTCTTCTTTTGCCCATGTGATGTATGTCTTTTTACCTTGCTTAATAAAGTTATTGGTTTCTGAATCTTTTTGGTTCAACCTGTTTTCCTTTCTATTTTGTCTGTGCTCAATTATAATGCACTTTATCTTTTTAGGATTTTTATCACAAATAGTCCATAATGTCTGCGAAATAGTTAATTTTACTCATTTTTGTTTTTAAGCATTCAATGTTGTCCTCTACGTTTTGTCCTGCACACACCCTACCCCCTCCCCTTGTAGCCACCAGCCCGACCACCATGTGCCGTAATCACCACCCTCTTCCTCTGTCTCCTCCCGATCCAATCACCGGCCTAATACCCCAACCCCCTCTCTCGTCTCTCCCTCTTTATTTCTCTTTATTTTCTCGATCTGCAGGTTTCTTTTTTTAAATTCGAAGTTTTTCCATTTTTTAAAGCTTTTTTTTATCATAGATTTGTGAGTCGTACATGCACGACATGCCAGCAAACTAACATAATTTTAACGGAATTAAACGACACGGGCAACACTGATGTGCGTGACAGAACTTGGAGGACGACATTTATACCTCCAATTAGGGACTGCATGCACATGCTACAATCTCACGCTATTAAAATCGCCCAATCCTAATAAGAAAGTTAGGATAAGTTACTTTTCTACCGTGCTAGACCCCGTTACCTGCAAGCAAGTTACTTTTCTATTGTGCTAGAACCCGTTACCTGCATCAGTTATCTTTTATATCATGTAGCTGTTGTGCACCCATTTCAATCTTTCCTCATTTGTACTGTTCTCTTGGGAAAACCAAGCACCACTAGTGGATGCAGATGATGCAGCAGCACTACTTGAACTGCAGGAAGAGTCTGTGAATGGAGATTGACTCCAATCTGTCTTTACAAGTCCACCATGGGTCGCTGCTCCTCCATGGAGCATAAGAATGCCTTTTTCATTTGTTTTTTTTCTTCAATTTATTAATTCTTTAAAAATGACAGGTGAAATGAGGAACTTACCCTAAATTTGACAGAATAATTTGACGGAATTAATGGTAAGGACGGACTAAAGTGAATAAGAAAAAAAAACCCAGGATAATAGAATTGAAAAAAAACAAATTTAAGGATTGAAACGACATTCGAGTAATAGTTCAGGGAACACTGCTACAATTAACTCGATCTAAATTAAATTACAATTGAAAAATAAAAAAGTGTTATAGGATGGGAGAGGGACCAAACAACCAGGGAAATCAAACCAACCAGCATATCTAATCTAATGGAGCATCATCGGTCTCATCCCTGGTCAGAAGCCTTTCGTTGTAGGGTTTTGCTTTTCTCTCAGCACACTGCTACCTTTTCCTTTTCTCAATAACTCTTTTCTTTCATTTTCTTTTTTGTTTACTCTTTGCTTTTTCCTTTTGATGTCCCCCACAGCCTCTTTATTCGCTGGCATCTCCAAAAGCTCTTCCAGTTTTGCTCCTACCCACTCTCACCTACATGAAACCCATCAAACAAATAAAACCCTCATTTCCATTTCCCTCCACATCTCTCCAAACTCATCAAAGTTTTAATTTCCTGGGTATATTTTTTCATCAAGAAGAAAATGGTGGACTTTGATTATGATCAACTTGTGAAGGCAACAGAAAGCTTCTCTGCAACTAAGCTCATTGGCAAAGGAAGCCATGGCATGGTGTACAAAGCCATACTAGTCAACAAATTGGTTGCCATAAAGAAGCCACTTGATCAATATCATGCCCATCAAGTATCTCTCCTTAAGCTCGACAATGAGATATGTGTATTGTCTTCTCTACCCGAAAACCCACATGTTATAAGTCTTCTTGGAACAAGTCATCAGGACTCAAACAAGAACAAGCTCCTTGTCATGGAGTTCATGCCCAATGGCTCTCTCCATGACCTACTTCATGTTGCATCCACACCCCCTCCGTGGCCTAAACGTGTGGAAATCGCCATTCGCGTTGCCCGGGCGGTCCAATTTCTTCACCAAGGGGAACCTATGGTGATCCACAGAGACGTCAAGTCGGCAAACATTTTGTTCGATTCAGATTGGAATGCCAAGTTGGCGGACTTTGGACTTGCCGTGCTCTTGCGAGTCGACTCGCCGAGTCACGCGAGTCAACCCGCTGCAGGTACTATTGGATACTTGGACCCTTGTTACACCACTCCTAGCAAACTAAGTACCAAGAATGATGTGTTTAGTTTTGGCGTTGTGTTGTTGGAGATTATAAGTTCAAGGAAAGTCATTGACATCTACAAATCACCAGCTTCAATAGTGGATTGGGCAATTCCATTAATCAAAGAGCAAAGAATAGAACAAATTTGTGATGCAAGGCTAGGGTTGCCCACGTACATGTCAAGCACAGTAAGGCACATGTTAAATTTGGCAGCAAGCTGTGTCTCATCAGATGTAGCATGTCGTCCAACAATGACGGACGTTGTTAAGGAGATCGAAAATTGTTTCATCGAACGAGTTAGGTTACCGATTTGGAGTAACATGCTGAGGAGTTTGGTGCCCACGAGGATGAAAAAATTAGCAAAAAGTTTGCAGCAGGCAAAGTGTGCAACAGAACAAAGTGATGCTGAGGTTCCAAGTGGGAAGCTATTGTTGTGGCAGGTTTTGGATGATGCTGCAGATATTGGCTGAGTTAACTCACTAGGACTCAGTTGAGTCAGCAACTCGGCCTGGTCAATCAATATATATATATATAGGAAAACCTGCAGGGCTGCATTCCAAAGTCCAAATAGAAGATTCCGAGAAATTAGGTGGGCAGAGAATATTACAAAGATTTTGTTTGATTGGGTGTCATTCGGTGCTGATGCTTATTCTCTGTTTTTCAGTTAATTTATTTCCCATTATATATGGGGTTGTTGATGCTTCTTTGTGTATATATATATATATATATTCATTTTCTAACGCAAGAGAATGTTGACATACCTTTTACGTTTGATGTTAAATTAACTTTGGAAACCTATGTTGGGCAGCAAGACTTGCACTCAAGTTTCAATTTGGTTTTCCAATTTAGTTTTTAAATTTTACGGTCTTTAGATTTTAATTTTCTGTGTTATTTTCGTTTTTACCGTAAATTCCGTTAACTTTTATGTTAATATTAGGATTAAACCGAATATTTCACTCTCATATAAGGGGTAAATCAAACATTTCAACACTCGCATTAAAACACTAACAAAAATTAAATAAAGAGATACAACTTCCATGGACGTAAAGTTACTACTACATTATTTGTCTTCGATACACAATTCTTATTTGTGTTCTTAAAAGGCACAAATTTTTGTGCTCTATAGCAATTGCCACATGCAGCCGCATTAATGTAGTCAGCTTTCTCTATAGGAGTTTCTACTGCTCATAAAGCATGAATCTATCATTTGTGGCAGAGATTTAGAGCATGAATTCATCTTTTGTGCTTCCATTATGACAAGTGATTCAACATATCTATTAACGGATTAGACAAGTCGTCAAAAACACGATATTTAACAGAAATTCTTCAGATTTTGTGATATTATCAAAACAAAAGTATTTTAATAACAAAAAATGGGAGCTCAGTTAGATAAACAAATTTAAGCAAAACATCAATTTGATATAAAACATAAAAACGAGCCATGTCTTATTGACTGGAGCTAAGAACATTGGTGACAACACTATCTCGGTGGTTGAATGCATGTCTCCTTGCGATGGCCTGGCATATGCAATCCATAGAGACTGGCGCAATATTCTTGTGGAAGGGGATTCTAAGCTCACCATTGACTGTGCTAATCAGGCTGCGGATCCGCCTTGGAGTGTTTGTACCTTAATGAAGGATATAAAGCTTCTCAGTTTCTTTTGTGAGCTCTGTCGTTTTCCCATATCTATCGTGAAGTGAATTTTTTAGCAGGTGCTGTTACTAGTTTGGGCCATGAGCTGACCCCTTCCAAGCTGTGGGAGACGGGCCTGCCTTTGAATTGTTCGGTTCCATTCTTTTTCGACCTATTTGGGCATGCGTGCCCGCATGATTTTTGCTTGTAATTTTCCTTTTTCGCATTAAAAATAAAAATAAAAATAAAAACGATACATCGTACAAGGATTAGGAATAAACACAAATCCACCAAAGTACAAAAGGGTACTTTAACAAAACCAATATCTAATCAAGACCCCGTCAACTGAGGCCCCCTTACTTCGAGGCCCATGGTCATCACCCTTTGCACCCACCCCTAAGACCGCCCTGGTTGTGAACAAGGTCTAAAATATATCGATAAAAATTAAATAAAAACAACGGAAATTGTAAGAAAAACTTGGAAATTTTTCTTAAAACTTTGGAGGATGTTTATTTAGTCAATTATCTATTACTTTATCACAAAAAATTGGAAGGAAATACATTGCATGATAGGTTTAACTGATTTAATTTGATTATATAGCTAGCTGACAAACAATGGGAGTGTAGAAAATATGTAGTAATTAATGAAAGAAACACACAATAATAATTTATTTATAATGATTTACTACAATATTTACACTTTATACATTACTAGCCTCTCCGCACGCGCTTCCGCGCCTGCGAGAGGTTTTTTTTTATAAATTAAAACTTATTTTAGAATTAAAAAAGATAATGGGTAGTTGTGTTCCATAAAAATAGGCTATTATCTGATTTTTCTTTTAATTTTAATTTTTTTAAATATGAAAAGTGTGAATTTACCGTATTATCCTCATTTAATTAATAATTTTAATTCTTAATGTTTGCATTAACTAAGGGCATTTTCTGGTATTTTGAATGTTTCATCATTCTCTGCCTTTTGCTTTATATATATAGATAGATACATGAGTGACTTAGTACCACATAGAGTTCCTATAAGGTTCAAATTTGTGTTATTTACACTAACACCTCATGAGGTTTTCGACTTTTTCACAAAACTCTTTGAGGTTTTAGAAATTACAAGAACACCCCATGAGGTTTTAAATTGTTTTACAAAACTACTCATTTTCATTGATTTTTCATCCAAAGATTGATGATTTTATACAAAAAAAAAAAAAAACTCCAAATGACAAAGTTGACCTTCAAGATTAGATTGCATATACTTCATTGAGGTTAATTTATCATCTGCATAAGGTTTTTTTTTTCAATAAAATCATCAATTTTTGGACAAATAATTAACGAAAAAGGGTTTGTGAAAACAAACTGAAACCTCAGAGGCTGTTTGTGTAATTTTTGCGACTTGAGGGGGTTTTATGAAAACACAAGAAACCTTCACAAAACCTCAAGGAATATTAGTGTAAATAATTCTTCAAATTTTTTATTGTCTTCATCATCTTAATATTATTGATATTATAGCGATATTATAGCCAAATGTTGTTAAAGTGTGAGAGAAATTATCGACGTCGATATTGGTTTTAGAAGTTGTTGATGCTAAATCTTGAATAGATAGAGATGAGTGCAACTTACAAGTGGGATGGACGATCAAGAGATCGATTGGGTGTTGGATGCCGATTCTTCCTGTCCTTGGATGCTGATCCTGAATAGAAGATAAGCGAAGCTCGTAAAGTCTATGGAACCGGTGTGGAACCAGCCTAAGACCCTCCGATGCTCGAGTAAGATTGTTTTTAAGAGCTCTTGCTGTTGACTATATAGTAGTATAAAAGTCAAGCTGAAAAGTCTTACCCCTGTATTGTAGTGGGAGGGGCATACTTATAGAGGGCATTTAGTATGCTCTTAGCGCTCATTTTCGATGTGGGACTCGTGGGAGGGCCCTATGAGGTTGACACGAGTCCTTAGATATTTCAGGCGGGTGCTTCGAGGTTGATTCTGCAGAATCGGTAGGGGATACCGATTGTAGGCTGTGTTGGGCCCTGTAATGATCTTTTGCTGCTTTGAGACAATATCATCAGTAGCCTATGCCGATTGTCCGAGGCCTTGGGTGCTTGGGCGAGTTTATGAGATCCACGTGTCGTTGTACGAGTGGAGGGTCAGATATGGTACAAACAAGTACAATATTAAGGTAAAGTGGAACATTCAGAAGTTAAATTAGGTCCCTATACTTGTAAACACGGACGTTTACAATATTAAAGTCTCATATTACTCTGTTTTGGACAGCTGTGTTCCATAGAATTGTAAAACCCATCCGTAATCTTGTAATATCGTAATTTACAAGGATAAAGACATCTAGTACAATATTAAGGTAAATAGGGACATTAGGAAAGTAAATTGGGTCCTTATACGTGTAAACACAAA